GGAGGGATGCTGCGTTTACTGAGACTCCTGGGAAGGTCCTGAACACTACAGGGGGTGGAGGGACGGGAAAAAGATTCTGAGTCCTCCAATTACTCATATTTTCCACTTCCGGCCGAGATCACAGATGGGGCTTCATGCAAATACTCACTGCAGGCTCTGTTCTTCAGGAAGCTGGAGAGAATCAGCCAATTACTTTAGTACTTTTGCTTCTTTGGGAAGATGACTATACATTCTTCCTCTCCTCTCAAGCCTCGATATTTCCCCTCTTCTTTTTTCTGAGCGGCAGGCCGAGCACACTGTTCTACTCTGCACACCTGAATGCCACTCTCCTGCATTACAGTGCAGTTGTGCTGTGTGACAAACCAATCCCATGCCACCTGCAGGTTTAATTGAGTCATTAATTGGACTAACAGCTAATATAGCCAAAGAGGGTAGGTAAAACTCAACCATTTTAACCTAGAAAAAACAAATACAGAAAAACCAACGGGTGGTCTAAGGCAAAACACACTAACATAAATGAGACAGCTCTTTCCAACCCGAATTTAAATTGAAAAGCTGCCTGGAGCTATTTATGGGGAGAGTCGTCCACTCACTATTACCATCGACCAATGGTTCCTACACCCACACACCCACTGCTCTCGACAGCACAAAGAAAACCATTCTGTAAGTCTTCCAGACAGGTTCTCCGCCTCTTCTGTCCCTAAACCTTCTCTGACATGTCAGGACCCAGAGTCGGCAGAATCACCCCCACTGATTCTTGCTCCAGAGGAGCTGTCAGCGATGGTGACAGCCACACGCACACTCTCCTCACGGCTCCGCCAGGCTGACTCTTTTCCAGGGATAATTCTGCTCCTTGTCCACTAACTTCCAGAGTCAGAGACCAGCGGACCACCAGAAAAACTTCGGAAACTATCAGTGAGCCAAGGCTTGCATTTTTTTTTTTTTTACTCATACAAACAACATATAAGGACCGTGTCAACTCAAATAACCCAAAAGTATAAAATAAAATCTTGGTCCCCTTCAATCTCTCCTCTCCTAATCCCCTTCTCCAAAGTGTTAGCAGTTTGGTATATATCCTTTTAGATAGTCTTGTATATTTACATAAACCAATGCCATTTACTTGTTTTCTACAAAGCGGAATACATACAGCATCTACGGCCTTTTCCACTCACCCACATGTCTAGGACACCTGTTTGCACCTGCAGATCCAACCCCAGTGGCTGTCAGGGTACAGTCCGCGGGCCACGTCCAGCCCGCCTCCATTTGTGAGCACAGCCACACTAGCTTCTTGTCCCGCCCATGGCTGTGTTCCTGCCACAAGCCCAAGGCCAACACACTGCTGTCAGCTCCTTCGCAAGAACGTCTGCCGACCCCTGATCCATCCTGCGCTCCTCAGAGTCAGCCCAGTGTTCCATCTGACCTAATGCATATGACCTAATGAGTAGGTCACATTTTTTCCACAGTATGAATAATGCTGCCATGAGCAAGGAGCAAGGATTATACGTTGAGACCTCTTTTTTATAAGCCGCTGTGTAAGCAACCTGAGAAAGGAGCCTCTAATTATTCCAACCACTAAAAAGAAAGGATAATCACAGGATGTGAGAGAGGTGCTAAACACAGCTGAAGTGGCCATCAGATTACCTTGTATAAATGTATCAAATTAACACGTTGTACACCTTAAATCTACACAGCGCTCTATGTCACCTGCCCTCAAAAAGGAAGGAAAGGTGCCTGGCATACACTGCTGCTCAATAAATATTTGCTAGCAGACCACTTCTGAATGAATCACAGTATCAACCCCAGTACCTTGAAGAGTTCAGGAAACTGATCTTTACTGAGTAACTTCATTTACAACTAAAAAACCTCAAGGGCCTAATTATCGATAATCACATGTAAAAATATAAACCCCGTCTGAAGTCATCAGGGTTCCCTGGATTAGGTACCCAGCTCTCCCCTAACGAACCCAAGTGACACAGGAAAAGCCATTTCCTCCTTTTCTGCAGGAATATAAATCACAACGACCCACTGGTGAAGCAGAACACTGAAATATGTGAGAGATCTCCGTGAAGATCCTTCAAGGCCTTGCTTTTATTCTCCAAGTTTTATTTAGTTGAAATCTACACCTCCGTTGCAGGATGCCCTGTTCTTTCATTGAGGATTCTATTCATTTTAAAACCTTTTAACAATTCTGAACATCTTCTCTCGCTTGGGCCCTGCCACCTCTTCCTCACGGTGGTCTACCTCTGAGCATGTTGCCTGTGAAGTTTTCACCGTAAGCCCAGCTCCAGCTTCGTAGGGCTCCTCCCCTCCCACGGGAGCCCCCGACACCCTGCGTTGTCGAAGTGACCCAGCGGTGCAGTCCTGTGTGTGCTGCAGCTGGGGGCCCTCGGGGTTTCTCCTCTCCTGGACTGGGATTCCAGGAAACTTCTGGTGAACATTTCTGAGCGTGGGGTTCCCAGCACCAATGGAGGGTGTACGTTTTAACCCCAGATTTCATGTGTGGTGCAGAATTCTCACTCAGGGTCCTGTTGCCTTGCTGCTTCTGAACATCTGGGAGGGCGGGGTTTTTCTAGGCCCTTCAGCGTGAATGTGAGTCTTTAAAACTCTTGGTTTTTTCAGGGGCTCAGTTCCAGCACCCACTGTGTGACCTGAAGCCACACATCCTGTCCCCAAAGTGAGGGGGATGCTCTTCGTTGCTATGAGTCTGAGTTCCCTCAGGTACTTTCCTTTCTGCAGGCTCCGTTTGTTATTAGGCTTTTTAAAAAGAATATATTTCATCAAACTTTTTTCTGTTTTATAGCAGAAAGCAGGTGTTCAGTCTGCTTTACTGATGAAGTTCCTTCACTATCAAGTTCATACCGCCAATCAAGAAATACAGTTCTCCAAGACCAGAGCTCCCCGGACGGAGAGCGGGCACTTGGCAGAAGGGATTCACAAAGTGATTCTTTGGAAGACAGGAGGAAAATTTCCCAGCTCTCATTTGTCCTGACTGAAAAGAGAAATGGGGCAAGTGTACAGACAGATATGCTGGGGCCTCCCTCAGCCTGTGTGTTCGGCAGCTTCACTTCACCTGTGGCACGAGTTTCTGGAGGGAAGAGGAGACTTACACAAAGTCCTGCAAAGAAATTACGACTCCACGACAGTAAGTATAAATAACAATACTAGTAACCAACCAGAGAATAAGAAAATGGCCAATATGACTTCTCTCAGTCCCAGAATGAGCTCTCTATCAGTACCGTACAGGGCACCTACATAAATTTTATGTTAAATATTATCAATCCTGCATGAGAAGGCTACATATATGTTAATAGTAGACAGACAGACAAGTGCTTGCTGAGACTGCGCTAGGCAACCAAGTTGTCCCACTACCAAGAGGTGGGCTGTGTCGAGCTGCTAAGAAACTGGAGACATTCTACGGGTGTCCTCAGCATGGTCCTATCAGAACGGGGGCTCCACAACAAATACACTGGGGTACTGGACGGTGACAGTCTCTTGTCCCTGGAGGTCACATAAAACTTTTTACACTGGAATTCTCAGCTTGCTGGTGAGTCGCATGCAAAGGAGGACAAGAGTGCATGATACCTGCCCACAAGGATGCATAAAGATTTAGATGACAGCCCCCAAGAGGTTTTTGTTTTTCACCTAAGACAGTAAAACAAAGAGGGCTGCAGACAACATCTGGGGTATAATATGACCACAAAAGTCATTTTACAAGAGTACGGGTGGCACAGCCTGTCCCTTAGAAAGTCACAACAGCTGTAGCACAGATAAGACAGGCTGCGGGCTATGTGGTAGCTGTAACTCCACACTTGTCTTCTAGTCAAGACAGCAGAGACTGGAAATTATTATTGTAGTAACTACCAATCTGCTGAAATAAACTTGTAAGAATTTCCAATTCCAAAAAGAGAACTATTTTCAGTAACAAATCACTGGGATACTCCACACAAAGGACTGAACAGGAAATGACGTCATGACATCACGGTCTGGGAAGTGCTCCTGGGAGCCTGAATCACGCACTAGTCAGTCTGCACGGGTACAGGCACGTGATGTCAACGGCCCCAGCCCTGGGGGGCTGATCTGCAGGCTCTGCACACGTCTGACCACAGAAGCCTCCTCGATCTGCCTTGGTGTGTGTGACAAAGACAGTCACTTTCTATCTGTGCGACAAAATTTCTAGATGTTACGTCTTGGAACAGGTGCCTGCAAATCAGTGCCTGGGGGTCAAAGCTGGCCTGTGGCCTATTTTTATATGGTTGGAGAGCTACCAATATTTTTAAATGGTTGAAAAACTTTAAAGAATTAATAAGCCATGACACATGACAATGACATGGAGTGCGAATTTCACTGTCTGTAAGCGAAGTTTCACTGGAACAGTCACGCTTGTCGGATTATGTCCTGCCTCTGGCTGCTTTCACACTGACCCAGCAGCGTCCAGTCCTGGTGGCCACAAGTCTAAGATGTCTGCTATCTGGTTGCTGACAGAAACAGCTCACTGACCTCTGTCCCAGGGTAGTATCTTATCAAAGCCAGGGACCACGGTTAGCTAACAGACGGCTTTCAGATGGTTTCAGTGGGTCAGCAATAGTTCAACACGAACAGCCCTGCGTAGGACCGTCCTCTCCCTTGGCGGGCTGCACGACCTGATCCCGACAGACGGCTGAAGCACACACCAAAGTGCCAGAAAGAAAAGTGAGCGCACGTGACCTGACATGGGCCTACTGGGGGGGTTCAAGGTTTGTGTCCTAGAGATGGTTCTGACACGGACACAGACTTCTGGAGCAGGCTTAGGGACAAGCGGTGGAATGTCTGAAATTGGGCCTCTCTGAAAAAACACGGGTTCCATGTTCTGCATCGGGACTGCTCTTCCTCAATGGTGTTTAAGGAAAGATATAAAAAGGACCGCTTCTCCCCCAAAACGAGGAAGAGATAAGGGGGTGGGATGGACAGGAAACGAGGAAGGAGCTTCCCTGAGCCAAGAGAGGAAGCGGCACAGCTCTTACTTGCACAAGCGTAGGCATCCCTGTTGGTGAAAGGCTTTGTGCACTGGCTGCAGCCGATCGGGCCCACGACAGGCATGGAGCTGAAAGAGTGGCCATTGAGGTTCTTCTTGTCCTTCTCCTTCTCTTTAGAATCCTTCTCCTTCTCCTTAATTTTATCTTTCTCTTTTTCTTTTTCCTGCCAAAGAAAACAATCAACAATTCATTGAACACTAGCAGGCCTTCCTTTGCCCTGCGCAACCCAGGTGGCCTGCGGTCAGCAGCAGTTGCTGCTGACGGCTTTGAACAAAAGTTAGAAAGGTTGCAGCAGTAGAGACCAGAAAGGGGCTCTAATGCTAGCGTAGGACATGTCTGCAGTGGCCAAGAATCCTCCTTAGTAAGCCAAAGCCCAGCCCACACGGCAAATGGGCAAGGAGTTCAGGACCAGCTGCAGGCAGGGGCAGACGAAGGGCCAGCAGCAATTCTGGGAGTGGCCTGAGCAAGAGGGAAGATGATCGAACAGCAGGAAAAAAAACATCACACCGATCACAAATCTCAAGCGAGGGCACGCCTCTGAGGTTTTCTCCCTTACTCTGGCCAGAAATGTTAAACGCCCCCCACGTATACAAGCTCAGTTGTTACTAATTGGAATTGCAAGATTCACAGATGTTAACTTTGGCCCAATTTTCCAACGGGGAGGAGGAATTTAAACTCTGAAAACTTAATGAATAGTGCTGAGTGCTAGATCCTAACCAAACATCTGCGGCAGTCAGGGACATTTCAGGGGCGCACTACTCCTGGGAGGCTGGGATTGTGGGGTGTAACTATGCTTGCCATGAATGGTTCTTGCCAGGCAGAGCATTTGGCTGGTTAATCAATATCAACGGAATGATTTCCTTTCAAACCAATGGACCATGCACAACAATTCACAGAATGCATTTAACAGTTGTCATAATCACTAATGATGGGATACCCATTTTCTAGGGAATATGATACCACTGTGGCACTCTTAAATTTCCTGGAAAACGAGTGCCCCAGAGTCAGTGATGACAACTACTGCCTTGCACATACATTATTTCATCTGATCCAACAACTGTGAAGTAGGTAGGGTGGGCATTAAGCATCCCGTTTCACAACTAAAGATAAAAATAGTAACAGCTAAATTTTTTGAATAGTTACTATGTGCCAAGCACTGTCATAAGCAACTCACATGTATTTTCTTGTAACAACCCCATGAAGTAGTGAGTACTGCTTATTATCTCTATTTTACATCTGAGGAGTTTGAGACTTAGAGATGTCTAATACTGCATCTGTGGCCACACCCCAGTAACTGCCTGAGCTGGACTTAAGATCCAGAGCTGGCCAACTCTACAGCTCGGCTCCTTCGTGCTGTTCTACTGCCAAGAACTGGAGAGGTTTGTTGACTCACAAAAGGTCACACAGCAAATGATGAGCAGATCCCAGCTTCCTACTCAGAACTGAAACGACGAATGTTTGCTAAGGCTATGATTCACGTCAAGTTCTCTCTAGTAGAAGGTGCATGAAAATCTAAGTGCTGAACTGATACGCTTTAGAAGTATAAAAAAGTAACAAGAGAGGAAGGGAGAAAAACTAATGTACTTCTCTTTACAAAACAGGAAACTGTTCTCAGTGGAAATTAGTAACCGCTCAAGTACATAAAACTCTAATAAAAATCACTAACAAAAATTGAGTTTCTCAAGTAACTTCTTTCTTTAACCTAAATTTTGTTGAAGGCTTTTCCATGTGTAAGATGTTCAACTGAAAAGCATCTGACCTTTTGCTCGAGAAAGCCCATGCACGCTCCACGGGCAGACACATCCACGCAACTCCTCTCAAACCTCGCAACGAGCTTCAAGTCTGAACACATAATAAACACGATCCGCCTCCTCTGCAGCAACCCAACACCGTCCTTCCAAGAATAAAAACTAAACAAACCAGCAAGCTCCATGGCCTCTGTCTCCAGGTATTAGCATTCGGTGCTTTAAAGAGGTCGAGCTCTTACCTCATCATGTTTCGGTCCTATGAATCGCACTGTGATGAGGGGCACTTCATGAAACCGACCCCATTTTACCGACATGACGGACCCCCATGCCAGGAAGTGTGCTCTCACGGAAGGAGGGGGGGCTCATGCCGGCAGGGCAGAGCCCGGCAGCTTCGCGCTGCCATCAGAGAACCCTTAGAGAAGCCGTCAGAGGAAGCCAGAGACCGGTTGAGAAAGGAAAGGAGGGAGGAGGGCTGAGGCTGCTCGTTTCCTCAACACGAGCTCAACTGTTCGAATGCTGCCAGTGAAGCCAGCTACCCTAGTGACAGAGGACAGAGGACACAGGAAACGAAACAAAACTAATTCCCCAAAATGTGTGCATGGTGCTGAAGTTGCAAGATGGGAACTCTGGTAAGGACTGAAGCCACTTTCTAAACACTGGAAGCGAGGGAACACATCTCACCTATTTAAAAACAAACACCTCATTTTAGAAAAAGCAGTACGTTTCCCTAAGAAACTTTTTAGTAAAGTCGCCTGTGGTAAGCAGCGATGGGCTGTTTCCTAAAATTTGACTTTTCCCTGTTTAACAGCTGACAAACTTTCGACCTGTGCTGGGAAATGGAAGCTAGAAGTGTGTAAAGGGGAAGGTGCAGACAACAACTACACTAGGATACTATGAAAAAAATAATTTTCATCCTTCTAAAATCTACCAATTTAGACAAGCAATTAAAACGTGGAACATGCTGTGATTATGCAACTGTCATGCTGCAGAGTTCTAATCAAAGAAGGGATGAGTGAGGTTAAGAACTTGCTAAAAACATTTCTAACCATCTCCTGGTTGTCTGCAGAGTGGGGAGCCTCGGAAAAAGAAAAAGAAAATCCGTGTGCTACGCTGCTTTAAAGAGGGCCCCTCCACTCTCTCCACGCAGGAGAACATCATGCTTATTGCTGTCTGAGCACTGTGGCAAGCAAACACATTTACCAGGAAACAGTCCTATCTCTCAAAGGTACAAAACTCGACAAAAGCAGAAACTGTCAGTCTTCCTGTTGTACTTCCTGTTTAGGCTCTCCGCTTTAAAAATACACCCACATATTCATCTATTAACTCATGCCAGTTATTGGTTAATTCTTAAAAGGACATGTGAAGGATTAGTCTCAATTTCTCAAACCCTACACATATGCAGCCCAATGCTACGGACGAACTGGATTATCCATGGAAGGCGAACCATTTGCCACCTTGTGGCTGGCTTTGGGATCCTCTGAATATAATTTAACAACTGTTTGTTATCACATATTATAAATTAACATAATTAGCATGCCAATTATATCTCAGTTAATAACTACAAATTACTTTATTGTGTGTGACTATACATCATGCTTAATTGTAAGGGAAGTAGAAATTTCCAAGCCATTCTTAAAGACTTGAAGAATTAGAGGTGGTGATTTAATATAATCTGCAGCACACGCTCAAACTTTTCCTTTAAGAAAAAAGTAGGAATGGTTACACTGCACAATAAACGAATAAAAGCAGATTAGATGAGATCTAATAGCATCTCTTTAAAAAATAATTTCAAAGCAAAAAGTATATAATTTTTATAAAGGAAGCACTCATTCCCAATCTTTAACATTATTGAGAAGTAACATTATTCGGTAGCTGTGAAGTGGGCTGAAACGCTCACTCATTTGTGTGCCGTCGTTCAGAGAATGAAGCACTTCTGCACGGCAACACTCTGGGCGGCACAGCGGTGTATAAACACAGGGTATTCACCGTAATTTAAAAATGTGCCACTTTGGTGTCTCCTGTATTTCTTACTATCTTTTGGTACACTGGCAGAAGCCAAGCTATTCTGCTGGAGGTTCTAAAAAACTGTCATTTCAAGTTAGCTAGTAACAATTATGAAAGGTGACTCTTAAACGTCTTAATATATTTGGTCACCGGGGTACTCCAAACACCTGACACCATGCAACAGACTGCAATCTAGGCTTAGAGCCTTGTCATTTTTTTTGAGTTTCCATTGCTAGAGATAGCACCAGCCCCTAAAGGTCACACCGTGAAGCCGAGAGGGAAAGAGGAACCATCTCATTGCAAAAGAATGTTGTCGTTCTGATAACAGGTCAGCCGATACTGCTTCTGCCAGTGATGACAGACTTCCCTCTCACACAAATTACCTTCTTTTCTCCTGCCCTTTCTCTTCACCCTCCCAGGAGCAAAACAGCAGTCTTTTGCTTATTAGAGGAGTCACACAAAAAAAAGATACTTTCAGTAGCAGGTTTTGTTTAAGGGGGAGTGGGGAAGAGTACTACCTGCTGGAAGTCAGACTGTGCGAGGCTCTGCCTTAATGTCACCTAGTTCTGTGACCTGCAACAGGCTGCTTTGTGCTGCAGGTGGTACAGCAGGGAGGCCAGGATGACTTTTAAAGGTCAGGTTCCAGGACCTAAGTTCACGCTTACTCATCCTGCTCATGCCTGTCTGTGTTACCTCAGCAATGTCATGGCCGGTGAATTTACTCCTGCGCCTGGAAGTCAGGGTCACTGTGGAGCTGACGGGGAGGGCAACCTCCACTTAGTTACTGATCTTCCGATTATCCGTTTGTTTGAAGGAGATATTCCAGTTTAAAAACATTTCGAAATCATATGAACAGATCATACAATTTTTCAAGGGACTGCGTGTTGGCACCCAGCAGAACACTGAGGCTATGGAAGTCACTCTAACATTTGGCTGATTTATAGCTACCTTTCCAAGGAGACTTTCTTTTGCTGATGCCAACCAGTGTCCCAGCCAGCAGTGATAAGTAAAATACACACAGCTCTGTTTTAAGCCTTGCTGCCCGTATGTGGAATACCACCAAGCATTCTGCCCTCTTTAACCTTATTTTTGACTTATAAAACAAGGCTATGAAGTTAATACTTACATGTAGTTATTCTAGACACCACTTGCTAGATTCTCTGCATTGTCTTCTAATTTCCTGACAGCCCCATTCCTATCCACCCTGCACTTGGGCCACAGAAGTGAAAGAGAGAAACCAACTCTGGTGGCAGGTTGTACGGAAAAACTGCTCTGACTATTGAGCAAACCTAGTGTTTTCTAAAAGACATCCTATTTGCAAAACCCAGGAAAATATATCAGCTATATTTCGACCACCCCACTTAACTGAGGGCCTAAGAAGCCTGCGGTTTTGTTTGGGGGCAAGGTATGGGAAGGAGTGTGGGGAGGTGCCCACTGACAGCAACACCCTTGAGCGTTTACTCCCCGCTTCTGAGTGTGTGTGCACCTGTGTATGTGCCCCCCCAACACACACGTGTACATAGTGGTTCCTTGGCAGGAGCTCCTTAACTGATTTCCAGTATTTTTCACTTTTTTCTTATTTTGTGGGATGCTGGCTGGGAAGATAAATGCAGGGCCACTGCAGTGGGAGGCTGAAAGTTTTTCCCCAGCACTGGGAATTGATATGTTATCTCCTTTTCTTTCTTTCTCTTTAAAATACAGTTTAAAAGTCACCCTGGCTGGTGTGGCTCAGTGGATTGAGCACTGGCCTGTGAACCATAGGGTTGCTGGTTAGATTCCCAATCAGGGCACATGCCTGGGTTGCCACTCAAGTTGTACTCTCAGTAGGGGGTACATGAGAGGCAACCACACATTGATATTTCTCTTCCTCTCTTTCTCCTTCCCTTCCCCTGTCTCTAAAAAAAAAAATAAATAAAAATAAATAAATAAAACAGTTTAAAAGCAGATTAAAAGGGCAGTCATCTCAGTGCCGGGTTATTATAGGTGATTTTTATTTTCTTACTTTTATGTTTTAATTATTCTTATAATGAGCATGGAAAAATTAACCACTATACAAAGATGTGTACACATGTTATCTGAATCTCAGGCACTACAGAGGATGTACTACAGCACACTCCTGGTTAGAAAGAGATTTAAGAATTCACATTTGTCTTAAAAGTTCTTGTTACTTTCTGTGGGACCATCTTGCTGACCTCTAAACCCAAATGTAAGTATTTTCCGTCCACGGGTCTTGGCATAACTCCCTGCAGCTACACTGCAAACCCGATGACCAGTTCCGGCACCTGGACCTCTGGTTCCACATCAAAGCCATGCACGCACCCAGACACAGTGTCTCCGTCCCACAAAAGCAAGACAAGTAAGATAATGTGTGAAAATTTCTTAGCACGTGGTGAAAACTCCGTTAGTGGTATTGCCTCTTGTTATTTTTCTTGCTGTTATTTTTCTCCCATTAATACGCCATCTCAAAGCGTTTCTCTGAATCTACTCCCATGCACCCTCACCCTGCATTAGTTCTCGGGTGCGGGTAGGCTGTGACAGTGACAGGAGCCTCCGGGTGACTAACTGAGGGGTCACGCAAGGAACGCCCACGATGGTACTCACTTTGCTCTTTTTACTGCTGGACATTTTATTCTTGATGTAGCTGAAAGTGCGGCTGACTTTCGTGCCGCTCTTCCCTTCAAAATCCTTCTTGGAGGGGCTCTGGGGTAGGAAGTTGTAGTTCTCTTCTGTTATACTACATAAAAACAAAAAGACAGACTAAAAAAAAAGGACTATATAAGTTATTTTCTAAAAATTAAAATGTCTTCCACCAAATTCTTTGCAACCATTTTTGTCACACACTATTTTTCCTACAAGTCCTTATATCCTCATGGAAGACAGGAGGCAGGACAAGAGATGGACCGAGGCTGCTGAACATTTTGCTACAACATCGTCTGAGAACAGCACAGCCCAGTGCCCACGTTCTGTCGCCAAAGGTGCTGCATCATCCCGCATCAGCACAAGAAGGGGGAGTCCAGTACAGTCAGAGACTCTGAGAAAGACCTTATTCATGTAACTTTCCTTACAATATGTTGTTAGAACTACCCGATTTTATTACTTATTGTGAATCTCTTACTGTGCACAATTTATAAATTAAACACTATCCTTCATACGTGCAGAGACATGTGGTATCTACAGAGGTCAGTACCGTCCACAGTGTCAGGCACCCACTGAGGGTTTTAGAGCGTAGCCCCGGAGGACCAGGGGGAATACCACCCCCCCCCACACACCCCCGAAACCAACTGTTGTTAGACTTACAAATTAAAAACCGCCATAAGCAAGGAGTACAAACATTCATAAAGTCAAACAGAAGTGTTTCTTACACGATTAAATGCACACAATAGCCTTCATCATTCGAAAGAGTAATGACAAAAGAAAAGTACTGAAGACATTTAGAAAGGGCACAGTCTCATTACCAACCACTTCGAACCATCATTCCAGGTTTATCACTCAAGAAAGTGAGAACCCAACAAACTCCACAAATGTAGTTTTACTCAGTTAAATGTCATAATACATTCTGGATTTCCTTCATTTCCCTTCGGGAAAAAGAGTAACAAATAAATGTCCAGTACCTCTCTGTCAGGTTAGCACTGGTGCTGTGGAAAGGCCGGGAATCTAGAAAACAAAAATGGCAGAGAAATGTTAGAACCAAAGGACTGTACCTGAAGGACAGAGAAAATGTCTAAAATGTCTACAATGACCGAGATAAAAAGCAGAGACAGCATTTCAAAGTCAGTGCACAGGGCCTTCTCCTGCTAAGGGTTTGGTAGAAGAAAAATTAAACCAGAAACCCCCAAATTAGAACTGTGATGGTGAGTGAATTTCCCAATAAAGAAGTTTAATCCAGGATCCAAGTAACTGAACAAACCCCAAATCAAGATTTTTTTCCCTAATGTTCAAACTAAGACAAGACATGTTTCATTCTTGTTCTTATCAAATGTTCAGTTCCTACAGATCATCATTCTGAGATGATGTCACAGGAAGAATACGAAATGGGAAATTAAATATCACATTCTGTTAATTTCACTCTCAGGTAGTTCTCTCTACACTGAAAATCTAGCTAACACGTATCTGGTATGCTCCTGAACATTCCAGGAAAAGGGTCCAGGGACAGTAAGAAGAGCCCGAGCTGGCTTATAGGGTCTGGGGCATGCCACCGATCTGGGGTGAGGAGTTCGTTTCCTCCCTGTGAGAGGAGGGGCTGGCGCAGGCGTGCAGGCCCTCTCCAGGCTGCTGCTGGCTGGAGTGAGTAGCACAGGCCCATTCTCCCCCCTCCCACAACCACCAGGCCATAAACTGTGGCAGGTCATTAAAATAAGGCCAAGTCAGACAGCTGGGCAATGCTAAGTAGAACAACAGAAGGAATACCACTCTTTTTAATGCTTAAGCTCCCAAATCATTCTAGATTCTGAACAGAAATGCAAAACTGTAGTTATTATTATTAAGTAAACAGCTAACAGGTGGGAATAATGCATAAGAAACTTAAACTCTGAGTCTTCAAAAAGACTGCTTTCTATACGGTTTGTCTTTTACATACTTGGGGTTCTTCTATTTTACTGATCATGCATGGTAACAGCCAGGTGAGGGGGGCAGATGAGCCCATTAAGAATAAGATCCAGGACCTGCCCCTGGCCCTGTTTGGCACAGTCTAGGTGTGAAATCATCAGCATGCTAACCTCAGGAGGCCTTAGCCTAAACAAAACCAATCAACAACAACAACAACAACAACAAAAAAAAGCAAACCCAAAGTATGGTTTAGATCAGTGGCTTTAAAACTTTTTCCACCCAACAGAGCCTTGAACGTTACAAGCGGTGTTAAGCTTTCTCAGGCTGCCGGGACTCTGTGGTACCTAGTAAATGACCACAGTAGTGACATGAACAAACTGAAAATGAAATCTATAAAAATAACAACCAGCACAGAGCCTGGCCAAAGATAGGCTAACAGTAGATTTGGGTTGAATAAATTGAAAACCGTAAAAACACATAACTGAACAGTGGGAGAACCTATGGCTCCTATGACTGTTTCCAACTTTGCCATTGCTGAAAATTTTTTACTTCATTTACTATGATCTTTTGGATGAGGTTTTTGAAAAGTCACTAGTCCACTGTGGCTCTGAAATTCCCAGTGTGGTCAGGTTTTCAGAGCATCTAAGGCACGAGTGGCAAACACAAGGCCACATGCGGCCCTCCACCTTGTTTTATCTGGGTGGCAGCACCAAGCTCTCACTTAACTGTTGAGAAGTAGTTACATTTATACAGTCCTAAAATCATATTCGGCCCTTTGAAGGCAACCGTGAGGCTGATGTGGCCCCGGGGAAAGTGAGTTTGACACTCTGAAAGGGACAGAAGAGCCAAAGCAACTTCCATGATGTAAGTACTCACAGAAGCAAAAAGGCCTGGCATCGAAGCGCACCTGTTCATGGGTCTGTGAACACAGTGCAGCGGACACTGCCTTGCAAATTCGCAGTGTCCACATCACCACTTGAAAACCGCTCCAGCCCGAGTTTCCTAAATTTCTGTGACCCTAAAACCACCTCTTCCGTTTCTTTCTCTGCCCCCCGTGCCCAATTCTCACTGGTAGTTCTGAGTTTAAGGAACACATTTTGAGGAAGGTGGGAGATGATTCGAAGGTTTCTTCCAGCCCCTGTATTCTGATGAGTTCACCATAATTTTCTATTAGAGGTAGAAGAAATCTGCTGGCACCTTTGTTTTTTTTTCTGCCCCCTGACCTATTTTCCACAGTATCATCAATACGCCGAGATGAAAAAATCTCGAGTATTTCTGAACCCTCGAAGTTGTAGGTGGATTCTGGTAAAGAGTAGTATCTTATTGTGTGTGTGCCTATTTACCAAATTTCTCTTAATTATGAAAAAGTACTGAACACGTAAGGCCTGCGCTAAAAGGAAATTAACTACACTTTGTGTTTCTGTGTATAAGGTACTTTAAGAAGAATGCAAAAATGTCACCCTGAGCTTAACAGTGCTTAAATATTAAACTGCAATATTCAAATATTAAATGATTAAATAAATATTGCTGAAACTCAGGGTCAGCAAGCAGTCGAGAATTAAGGTGCTCAACCATGTAGGTATTGTAATTGTGTGGGACTCATTAGTTATATGAAATGAAGGCAATTCATTATTTAGCTTTATATTAGAAATAATTTTCCATTAAAAATAATAATCTTGGAATACTGTAGAAATCTTGCACAAATGAAAACAGTTCATTCCCATGAAAGGAGGGATTCATTTCCCTTCCAAGTTTACTAGAACTGACACCTTGTAAAGTTTTAAAACTCGGTATCGCCAAGTAAGGACATATTCATCTGAAACCCACAGTGTAGAAAAAGGACTGAAAAAAAGTTGCAAGGAAAGAAAATAGGAGGAAAAGGTGAGAAGAAAAAAAATTAACATGAGCTGGTAAATAGCACAGGTGGGCACCCAGAGATCTGTCCCATGAGACAAAGCAAGTGAAATGAGGAACGATGAGGATGACATCACCAGACGGAAAGTTTTGTGAAATCAGCACTCGGTGTTACGGAAGGCACTCGGTGGGATGGGAACACACCGCTGGTGCCTGGGGAGGCATTGGCGTCCCGGGACGGACTCTCGTGCCCTGCAATCAGGCCACCGGATTAATCAGGGTGCATCGTGGACAGAAGACCAAAACTGTCTTACCAAATTAATTTTCAAAGCAAAGCATGACGACACATGGTTTAGACACGAGGGCATGCAGGGGGATAAAGGTCCCCACACCACCTCTTGGTGCCAAGCCGAGAGCATTCTCAGTGCTTGTCAGGCGCGGGAGAGCAGCCCCGGGCTCCCATGGTTGCTTACTTACACTGTAACTCCTCCTCCTCATCACTGGAATGAGAAGAGCCCAGAGAAAAGAGAGTTTTAGACTTAAGGAGGAGCGGAGAGATGCTGATGGAGAAGGAGATCTGCCTCGCGGGCGGCGGCGGCGGCGGCAGGGCTGAGGAGTGGGTTAACAGGGGTCATTAGAACAGGCACGGATTACACCAGGGTGACGCTGAAGGCACCTCCAACCCCCCTGGGACAGAACAGTGTCACTGGCCCGTATGGTTCCCAGAGAGGCTGTCTAGGCAAACAATGCAACTTATTCACAGTTTCATCTTTATTTCCGAACACAGCTTTAAAAAATTCATTCAACAAATATGAACTTGTTAGATTATGAAACAATAACTAAATTTTTAAAAATATTTTATTTATATATTTTTAGAGAGAGGAGGAGGGAGAAACAGAGGGAGAGAAACATCAATGTGTGGCTGCCTCTCGCACGCCCCCTACTGGAGGCATGACTTAGCTCACAACCCAAGCATGTGCCCTGACTGGGGATTGACCTGGTGACCCCTTGGTTTGCAGGCCAGTGTTTAATCCACTGAGCCACACCAGCCAGGGTCTAAGTTATTTTTAATGGTTATAATTTATAGCCAGAGGTTTTTTTTTTCCCTTCAAAGTAAAACTGCATCTGGCTCTCTTCCTCCTCACCCTGAATTCCTCATTCACTCCCGCCTCTTAACTGCAGTCTGTACACAATACATACCGGTGACTCACCACTTCTGTCTTCAGGCCAGGTCTGTCCTTTGAACTCACAACCGGTTCACCTAACTGCTCACGTAGGGGTGGGTATCCCACAGGCAGCTCCAAGAGAACAAGTACCTAAGTAAACCTATCTTTCCTCTAGACCTGCTCCTCCACCTATAACCCTTCACTTCGTGGAGTGGTACCTAAATCTAACTCATTATTCAAAACAGAAATGGGAATCCTTACATCACAGCTCACTCAGTCCTTTGGATTTTGTCTTCTGGAATTTTCTCAACACCAGCTTCTCCCGGCTGCCACTACTCCAGGCTCCAGTTCAGGCCACCAAATGCTTCCATCTGCATTTTGCAATGCTCTGACCGCCTCTCCTACCCAACATGCTCTCCAGTGGGGTCTGTATGAAGCGTTTCATTCAAGTAATGAATCAATTTAATCAACTTACAGTGCTCCACTGCCCTCAGATAACAAGCCCAACGCCCCCAAGTCCTGCTCTCCACATACTAATTCACTGAGCGAATCCCTCGTTTCCTTTTGGTCTCAATGTTGACATTATTTATCCCCAAATTAAAATGTGTATGTATGTAACATATATATCACTTAATAACCATGTATATATTCAAGCCTTGCAATTCAACCAAAAGACCAACGGAAAAACTCCATCTTCCTGACTCAGTTTATGCCCTGACATATCTGTCTGTGTCACCTTTTCCAACTAGAAGCACTATAAGAAAATATGTGTGTTCCACTACATTCTCACTGCACTGGCCACAGTTTAAAATAAGAGAGGCAATTAGCAGAGAAAGTAGAGATAAAATATCCTCATCAGCACTTATGCCTAACTTCCCAGAGGTGCGCCCTGATCTTTGGCCACGTGGGTTATCTTTTCAGATCCGGTGCTTGTCGGACATGTAAATGGCACAGTGCGGCTCTCCAGACGGACTTCACCACCACGGTCTAATGAAACCTTCTGATCACAAGCCAGTGTTCCCATCGAGGCACACATAAGGAACCTGGCCGATTCCCACACAGGGAGTGAGGGCATACGACTGACCCCAAGGACAAGTGCCCCTGATGAACACCCTTCTGTGTGACAAAGAAGCAAAATGAAGGGGAAAAAGGAATTCATGAAAGAAGCCTGTGAAGGGAAAACATCTCATGGGTATGACTCTCCTTGTAACATTATCCCTGCTAATGTGCTAGGGTTCTTCCAGGGATAGAATCAATCAAGCAGTTTCTCTACAGTTTGTAGGCACCTTCTGGGTAAGAGCAATGACAAGTTTAAAAACGGAAGTATTTGTACAGCAAAAATGAACTTGACTCTTTAAATTCTAAATGGAAACCATGTAAGTGTCTCCTGGCAGGCTGGGAGCCTCCACCCAATCCTCTCTGATGCAAGAAGGAGTGATGCAAACACACTTCCGGGCGCGGATGGTGAGGGCGAGCCCTCCTGGCGTCTTTCCCACAAGACACAGGCAGCGCCGGGCTACCTTGATTCTCCAGAAGGAGCCAGCAAGATGCTCCATCATGTTCCTCCCACCAACACAGCAAATCCAAGACATGAGTCAGGAAGCTTTCCCATCCACTGAGGTCCCTCCATAAGCTGTTGCCAGTCTACCTGACACCCCAGAAAATGACAGAAAGATTTGAGTCACCATCTTTACTCAGTATTTTCCTCCACATCGATGGATTTTTGCAACAGATCCCAGCTTAGAAATGGCAGTAGGGGTTTGTCTGTTTTTCTCATCTGGCAAATGACACAAGACATTCCAGACAGCGGCCCAGTACATTCTCAGAAATGTGTAAGCGTGGAAGACTGTGAGAGGAGCAATTCATTTCTTTAAAGAAAGAGGACAGAGCACGGGAGCGAGATGGACAGCAGTGAGTGAGGGCTGAGTTCAGAAAGCACTTTGCTCCTAGCCATGGGTGTCCATGAGACACAGCCACTTACAGAACACGAGGGGCGCTGTCCTCGTTTCTGTCACGCTGCTGAAGCTGGGCAGAGAGAAATGGGCCTGGGCTCTGGGAACTAACTCCCTAACGACAACAAGTCCTTATTATAAGGCAGGAAACATGCTAAGGACTTTAAGTAAATTCACATTTAAACCATATCATATTATTATCACTGTTTAATAGTTCAAATAATTGAGGCAAAGTGTTTCAGTATCTAGCCTGAGGTCCCAAAGGCACTCAGTGGGCTTACGATAAAATGCGAGTTAAAATAGGTGAAGTGTACCGAACACTTGAGACGGTAAAATCGCTGTGTGCACAGTAATCGTGATTGTTTCAGCTAGGAAGACCGTGACCAAAGATGGCTCATACAGCACTCAATCGATCTAGAATTGGAGAGCTGAGCCTGTGGCAAATCTAGAACTATCTATCCAGTTATGCGGATGCTCCAAAGCACAGCACATGAAACAGAAGTTTTAGTCTCCTGTTCAACGGCCCAGGTTTTTACACCTGTTTGTAAAGAATGTACCATGTTTCTGGTACAAAATACAAAAATACAGTTGGGAAAATTAACTCAATTGTGTAAGGGGAGGGACTCAGGAGAAATGGCGTCATAAGAGGTGACTGTCCTCCAATTAGAGTACACGCTGACACAGGGAAGGAGGAGGGGCTAGTCAATGACTTCCCGACCCCTCCCTCCAAACCTGCCGGCAAGGAACACTGTAAATTAGGATGAAGATGCCCTATTCTAACAAAAGGACCGAACACTTGCTCAGAGCCCTGCTCTGGCAGCTGTCAGTGTCTCTCAGTGAGCTGAGCACCAACCATCCTGGCCACAGGAGGCAAAGCTCCACGAACCGGCCCCTCTGGCACTCAAAGGCAGTGTTTCTTGGGAGTCAGCCACATTATTTATAGTGTTTGGCTAGCAACTGAAAACACAGTAAAAAAACATCTTGCTTTCTGGGGGGAAAAATAATGAAGTATTTCATGCCCAAGGCCAGAGAACGTGTGACAAAATATAGGAAAAAGCTCTCTCTTTGGGACGTAATCCGCTGGTGCTGGGTGTTTGCTGCCATTGGAACAGAGTCTCCACCAGGCCACTGTACTGGCTAGTCCTGGAAGGAGGGTACGGGGGGCTGACATGTCTCACCAAAGGGCTCTTTCTTGTCTGTCTTTGGCACACCAGGCCCATCGGATCCACCATCAACTATTTTCTTAAAATAATTTCCATTCTATTCCAGCAAAACCTCTAAACCAAAGCCCAACCAAAACAAAACCCAAACCCTAACAAAAGCAGTTGAAGCTGTTTCTGTTACGGTTCTGTGAGGTTATCCCTGTATCTTTGAGAATAAGTGATGTTAGGCACCTTTTCTCCAATAGGCCAGATGTGTATCTGAAGTAGTAATCTCATGAAAAGGAGAACAAAGTGAAGAGAATTGGCCAACATGTCTGAACTCCACTGTGGGAATTAAATCCAGGAAGTCATGGCTGGAGACAGAGCATCCCATGAACTCAGGGCAGCAACTTCTGTCTGTCCTGAACTGTCGAACAGGGGCTTTGTCAGGGGACACTGAAGAAGCACCAGAAACAGCAGTTTATCTACTCCCTTTGCTTCAGCCTCCTAGATTCTTGCTCTTTTAGCAAAGAAGGTAATGTACCACTCCACCTTTGTTGAGAATTTAAATCTTTACATCAAGACCTCACACTGGCAACTCATTTAAAAAGAAAAAGCAGTATTTTAAAAATAATACAAAAAAGTGGGGTTTTCCAAAGAGCAAGCTGCCTTTCTGTGACAAACATTTGCATCCAATGCAAATGTATTTTTGAGCATCTTTCATTTGCAAAAGGCCTGCGTTTACGGCCGCCAGACCTCTCTCTATAGCCTCATAGCCAGTGGACCCTGAATTTGCATGCAGTGGCATTTATCAGTTTCCGATGTAATCCCCTTGGCACTCACTTAACCAAAACTCTATTTCAGTCTTTGTCCTTTATGAACTTGACATCTTTGAAGAGCTCAGAAAAATAACACTGGATAAAATTTGGATAATGGCTCTGTGGTAAAATAAGAGAGCATCCTTGAGAGCATCATGTGTCTTCACATTTGGGGACTCCAGGTGAAGAATATATGGTAATCCTTTGCATTGTTTTTGCAACTAATTTTGAAGTCTAACATTATTACAAAATAAAGTTTTAAAAAATATGTCAGGTTTAGGCCTCCAAAATATAATAAATTTATTAATGTGTTAAGGAGATTTTTAGGTAGCAAGAGAAGGAAGACCACAGAACTGAATTCTATCTTACCTTTTCTATGTAAATGATGAGCCATTCATTCAGAGGAAAAAGCAAGGAAATTTTGGAAGGTCACGCTATAGGGTCTTAGGGTCTTAAGAAAATTGACAGAAAAAGTATTTAAAGCATATTTAATTTTTTACAAAAGTAGTATTATACTCACTGTCCAACCCAGGATGGCTGATTGTCATTAATGAGATGGATTTTGTCAATGTAGAAGAAATGGCTGATGTACGGTAATTAAATCCCTGTGGTTTAGATCCGTGACAGGTCTGTAAAGAAAGGAAATGAAGAACAGGTTCTAAGTACATGCTCTTGTATTTCTAGATAAGCACAGAACGGTACGCTCCAGCCCAAGCTGGGAATAAGGCAGCACATAGGCCTAAGAGCTGCAGTCAGACAGCCGTGGACCGAAGTCAGCCCCTGCTCAACTGTGGAGACTTGCTCCGCATTTCTGAGCCTTCGTTTTCTCCCCTGTAAGCTGGGGGTAACTGGAGCATGCATCCTTTACCGTGGTTTCGTATCCCTGACAGTACCCAACAATGTTTCAAACTTAGTAAGTGCTTAATTAAGACCTGTTGAATGCATAACCAGATAAAAATAATTTCATTTGTGGAAGTACAGTAATAATATTCTGATCTTAAAGAGTTGGAAACAGAGATCTAAGTAAAAATGTTTCAAGACCACAAGCAAAGCAGCCCTGTATCTGGAAAGAAGCCTAAATCTCTTCCATTTCCTCTTCTAAGATTAGACTGCCTGCTTCTCTACAGGAGCCTGACTGCAATTTGATAACTTAACTCCCCAGCAAACTCACAGCGGCTGCAAGGCCTTGTAACCCAACCGGCTGCAGAAGGTCCTGCAATGGCACTCCAGAAACAGTCGCTCAGTGTTCACCAGCCCGTATCTGCTGTTTGGAGAGCCCATCCTAACCATTAACTAGTTTTAAATTCTGATAAATCCCTTCCCTTCAAGGTAGCTAAAATCTGCCCCTTTGTGACTTGCACACATTGAAAGGGAAGCAATGAAAATCCGTTACTAGCATAAATGCCACTGGACAGCACTGAAGACTTCTGATTATTTAGGGCTTGTTTCCTGTGTAACCATGGAGTCTGACGCACAGTTGCTATGTTTCCAATACAACTGTGAGGTCTGAAAAATGACCTCAGGGAAAGGCAGAGACTTTCAACAGGAAGTTGGCTACAGGCATTGTGTCCAGATCAGAGATACAAGCAGCTCTGAGGCTGCACACAAGATAAAAAGCTTGAGGTCAACAGAGGTCCTGGAAGGTGAGGCACAGCAGAATCTCTTTCCGCCTTCTATTTGATTTTTTTAAGTATGTTTTATTGATTATGCTATTACAGTTGTCCCATTTTTTTCTTCCCTTTATCCCCTCCTCCCTCCAGCCTTCCCCGCTCCTTAGTTTGTGTCCATGGGTAAGTCCTTTGGCTTCTCCATTTCCTCAACTATTCTTTTCCTTAGGCCTTCACAGGGCTGTAAGTGATGCACTCATTGCTAAGGGGATCCCCTGGTGCCAAGCTTACATTTGGTCACGTCACTGCCGTGTAGTAGGATGAAATAAAAAGGACAATTCTACACAAAACCTCAGTCACCTATTCAAAGTACAGGCTGTTCAACATTTTTGTTTCCTTGTTTAATTAGAAATGTTCTGGGGGAGGGGGAGGTGGAAGGGTGCATGGGGTGGTAAATGGGGACGGAAGGAAGCCTGACTTGGGGTGGCGAACACACAATACAATATACAGACGTGTTAGTATGGAAGTGTATGTCTGAAACCTTTATAATTAACCAGTGTCACCCCAATACATTCCATAAGAAAGAAAAAAATGTTTCACTATATTGCTACTTAAAACTCTAGTCACCTATTCAGAGACAGGTGTTGAACATTTTTGTTTGTTTAGTCAGAAATGTTTCATCTGGATAGGTATCCTGGAATCCTCTCAGAAACGAATCCCAGGTCTCCTTTGCCCAAGAAAGAGGACTGGGGGTTCTCAACTCAAAAACTCCCAGACGGACTGTCAGAAGGGGTGAGTGTTAATGCAGGGCTGAGAAGATGAGAACTCAGCAAAGGTCACTTGCTTTGGTAGACAAGGAAACCCATGACCTTCAAGAGCAGATCTGCAAGACAGTGACAGTGGCGGACATCAAGGCATCATTAGGGGTGAGAGGGAGGCAAGGAGTGCAGGTGTTCTCGCAAGAATTTTGGCAGTGACAGGAAGGAGAGAATAACTCGTCCTTTCCTTGACAACGTGATGAGATAAAGAATGAGGAGTGTTTTTCCCGGGAAAGAGAAACCTGTGACATGGTTTTGAAAACAGGGAAATTTAATAATGGTATGTAACACACCTCCAGGCTCATTTTACTATTGGGGTGGTAAAAGAAGTCCTCAGAAAAGAAGAAAACACTTGATTTAATATCCATGGTACTTTCATAACTTAAAAAGAAGTTTCTTTGATAGTACTATATTTAATACATATATTTAAATCTATGCAGATTAATCCTATTGTTTAATTAGTATTAAGTGCTAAAAACTTATTTTGCGTTAGACTGAGTGGATTATGTAATGAGTAAGTAATCAGAGCTGCTAGCCTCATGGTAACATGAGGACATATTTAGGGAGAGAAAATTAAGGTTTTCCAAATTGGCTCCAGGTCCACATTTCAACCTTACCTGCTGATCAAACATCCTATGTTCTCTCTGGCCTGATTCCAGATCCTCTTCCGAAAGGGACACCAAAGAGTCACCCCGCTCCTCACCACTGAAAGGGTGCCTGAGCTCCTTGGTGTTCGCAGAGCTGACGACTTCCAGAGATGAGGACGGTTTGTTTCCGACACCATCTCCTCCTGCCAAGCCTTCTAGGCTGAAACTGAACACAGAGCATGAGAGTTAGTGCACTCTCTTTCCAAGTCCCAGAAAGAAAGGAGGATGCAATACCCCTTTAGTGGTATCTCTCTTGCATGTCTATCATTTCTATCACACCCAGCAAGGCTCTCTGCAGAGGCACAGCACAAATAAATGAGCACCACCTGCCTTCTCCCTCATAGGTCTTGGGAAAGAATGCTGCACTTAGATTTCCTTACCTAATTCAACGTGTTCAAATGTTAAACCATCTAAGGTCATTTTTTCACAGTTTTTCCAATATATCATATGGACAGACCATATGATCTTATGCATCTTTTATTTATGTGATTTCCCCTGATCTTTTGCTGAAATCTAACTCTGCTAATGCCAAGTAACTACATGGCATGGAGAAAACATGAGGGTAAGTAACTTTCAGAAGGCAAATGGGGAGACTTGGACTTGCCCCTGAGGCCATTGAGTGGACTTTTATGGCTTTAAGTTCCACGACAGGTTAGTTGAGCTTTGTAACTTCACAGCTACACACCTGCCCAGAAAAGCCCAAGTGCTACCGTGAGCACCACCATCTGTGCACACCAGCCCAGACAACGACGGCTCACCAGGCTTCCTGAGAACTGTTAGTTGCAGATAGGCACATAGGACATCTTGAAGAACAGAAGCTGAAAAGCTATTGAGTCTAAGAGTTTTAATTTTTTGTCCTGATATTGACAAAGTGGGGAAAAAAAGGCAATCTTAGGGTTCAGTATCCAAAATGGGATCCCTGGAATAAAGAATTTTGTGGTTTGCAGAGTAAAAAGCATTTTTCTATAAGCAGGTGGCTAGAGAGAGATGTTAGCATCTATCCCTTTTGGGGTTGCTAGGCAGAATGGCTTTTATCTGCTACAACTGCAGGGGAAGCTTCCTTAAAATAAGCAAGACCTCAAAATAGAGCTGTAGCAGACCACGTCCTCAGCTATAGACAGCTGAATTGTGTTTGAAGCTGTTTACTTATTTCTGCTCAAACTGTACAGTTAATTGCTACAAACAATTCACAAATGCTAGTCTAAAAAGGCCTGTATTTGTGTTTTTTATTTCACAAATTACTATAAATTAAAACTGTATTAAACAATGGATTTTTGGTTCTTTTTCTATTTCAATATGAGAATGGAAATCATGACTAGCTACAAGTAATGTCTCTGTAAAAGTCATTTTAATACCAGGGACAAGACAACGGGCTAATGAAGAAGAAATTTCGTTTCTATTGTGAATGATCTGTAAAACCTAAGAAAACCACATCTATGCTTTCCACACAACTTAATCCTGCAAATGTTTTAGCAATCAAATCTGCCTGCTTAGGAGAAAAAGACCATGAAATGAAGAGTGTGTGCATTTGGACTTGAAAGCGACTGGTGGATGTGGTAGCATAATAAAAATAAGGGCAGCTAATGAGCTGCCCTGGTTCTGTCAATGTTTTCCTCAGGACGGGGAATCCCTAGGATCAGAATTAGGGCAGACTAAACAAAGAGAGGCGTGGGCTAGCGTACCACGCAGACAAGTGCACAGAAAACACCCAGTCTACAGCCACCGGAGACACACAGGATGATGCGTCAGGGCACAACACCAGACTTCTCGGCTGCACCCTTCAACTGGATCAGCGACGCCGACAGCAGGGGCAGTGGGACAGTGCGCTCACACGCAAAGCAGGCCGCCATATGCAATCCAGCCACAGAGAAGCCAGCTCCAAGCCAAAGCCCACATGCCTATGTCAGGATTTCCCCTTCGGCTGCTGGACACAGAACAATACCATACCTTCTGTAATTAAAGTCAGCACTCAGGGCAGTAGAGTATTGCACACCAGAGGGACACCAGCTCATACTGGGGATGACATCGACAGAAATAGAAATGGAGGGAGAAAAGAGGAAACAGGGATAGGGTTATTGGGTTTAAAAAGAGAAGGGCACAGTTAGAGACAGATGGACTTATATGAACATCAAAAAACTAGAAATGCAACCATGATTTACAAAAAGGCAAGAACAAATACCATGGAATCTTAAAACTGTTCTACTGATGTCTACCTACACAATGTCTTAGAAACGACTAAGTAAGCTCTTAACGGGGCGGCAAATCTGATCTGAAACCCAGTTCCCTTAGAGAGCCCTGCACCGAGAGCCCACCTACGCGTGGGCCTCCTCTGCAGGACCCCTCACGGAGGTGTCCCCCTCTGTTACTGGGGGTGACCTCTCCGTGAACCCCACCACCCCCACACCCCCCTCACCTTCTATAGCGTAACTAGAAGGAACTGTGACACACCACACTGGTGGCAGGCTCACTGAGTCATCAGCGTTTGTCATGTGTTTCCAGGAAGGCTCCTTCTACGCCAGACAACCCACCGACCTCCATAAAAGCGGTGTCAAGACCACATCCATCCTCAAACCCTACTCTCGAGTCTCTTGCTTATGCTGAAGATAAACTATACAACAACGGTGACATTTCCTTGCATTTTAATGATAACGAAGGGATTCAGTTTCCTCCTTTTTTTTAAAGAAATTCTATCATACTCAGAAATTTGTCTTTTTCGTTTTCAAACCAAAATTTAAAAATCCATTTGTTCATCTACTTCCCTAACTGTCTCAGCACTGACATTAGTTCTCAAGCAGCAGGGACAGAAAATCTGGGGTTGGGAAGGCCAAAGAAATTAAAAAGCCAAAAAATAACCAATTCAAAATATCACTTACTCTGGAAAGGAAACTGCATCAATAGGTCAGGATTTTTGACCAAGAAGAGCTACCCTTTAAAAATACACTGCTACTATTTGGGCCTCTAAGTTCTAAGTGACAGCCCTCTGTTTCCGGGGAGGTGGGGGGGCAGGGGAGAACAACAGAGGTGAAACCACAGCACCCTGCTGAATCTTAGAACTGGGAGGTTCAGCAGACGCTCAGGGGCCCCCTATCTTGAATGCAGCAGTGTTCCCCCTTACCCATAGTTTTGTTTTCTAAGGTTTCAGTTACCCAAAGTTTAAAAATATTAAATGGAAACTTCCAGAAATAGGTCTTAAAGTATGTGCCTGGGTGGTGGCACGACATCTCACCCGTCCCACTCTATCCCATCGCACCCAGGGGTACGTTGTCCCTTTGTCCAGCTTCTCTATGCTGGGCTTGTCCCCGCCCATTAGTCTATTGCTTAGGAGCTGACTCGGTTATTATTAGATTGATTGTCTAGGCATCGTAATGCTTGTGTTCAGGTGACCCTGATTTTACTTAATGATGGCTTCAAGGCCATTCACGTAACTTCTACTGCAGTATATTGTTATCACTGTTCTATTTTATTATTGCTATTGTTAGTCTCTCAATGAGCCTAATTTATAAGTTAAACTTTATCATAGGTTTGTATATATAGGAAAAAAGACAGTACATATAGGGTTTGGTGCTATCCATGATTTCAGGCATCCACTGGGGATCTTGGAATAGATTCCCCATGGATAACTGAGCACCTACTCTATACCTAATATGTTTTTTTTTTAGTTGACAAATAGGGGTTTTCGAGATGAAGACAAGGAAAATGGTGGGAGAATAACTGTAACAGCTACCCCTATGACTCTTCTAAAAGTGAATTTTTAATATCATTTTAAAGTATTTTAAATTTTAAAACATTTTAAATCAGATTAAATAAATAGTGTAAAGCTCCCAAGTAAAGCAGCAGAAAGCAGAAATACACAGCTGAGGCACGTCTCACGTCTGCAAAGGGAGACCAGATTGACTTGTGAGTACAAATAAGCCTTGATATAATTTAGAAGCAAGCACACATAAGACTCACAAGTCCTTTCACTAAAATTATTAACTCAGCCCTGGCCGGTGTGGCTCAGTTGGTTGGGTGTCATCCCACAAACAAAAGGCTGACAGTTCAATTCCCAGTCAGGGCACATGGCTGGGTTGCAGGTCTGGTCCCTGGTGGGGTGCATGCAAGATCCATGTTTCTCTCTCTCTCTTTCTCTCTCCCCTCACCCCCTCTCTCCCTACCTTCCCCTCTCTCTAAATAAATAAAATCTTTAAAAATAAAAATATAAAATGAAAGTGTTAACTGTACATCTCCAAACTGCTAATAAAAATACATGTTATATCTAAATATCCAACTTCTTATTAAAAAAATAGAATGTGGTTGATCGGGAACTGTATACACACTGTCAAATTATAAATTATATATATATATAATTTTATTATATTAAAAAACTCTCCTTCTGATTTAAACATCCCTTTCCTCTCAAAAAATATGTGGGAGACCGGGATGGAATTTAAAGTGGAGAGACTGAAGGGCACCAGGAAGGCATGAAGAGGGTTTTCCGAGGACCCAGGAAGCTGCAGACAGTCCCACAGTAGCAGAAACACTGCCCTTCCTTGCAGCAGAAAACTTCTTCCACAATTAAGAGTATTTCCGAGAGCACCCTAATGTCCCCAGTTCCTCAGTTAGTGGGCGGGGGGAGCAGGTCACATTTCATGGCTCTTTGGCTTTGTTTTCAAATTTAGGAAGTTCTACATTAAAAAAAAAAACAACTATCCTCCTCCACCTTTTAATACTTGTTGGAATGTTTCAATTTTACTAGTTAGGACTTAATACAAAGTGTAAAAGTGTGCCTCTTCTTCCTGCAGAACATGACTATGGGTGAAACGCTCACTGACGTGGCTAGGACGGCTGTATCTATATGCTACCTTGGACTGTACCCAGCAGCTCCTCATCTTCCAGAGTCTTTAAGTGCAGGGTTTCCATAAGTTCATACTAAAAGAGCTTTCACAGAGAGCCAGGCACTTAACTCTGGAATTAAAGGAAGCAGCCACTTAAAGGACACAGTGGAAAAGATCATCACTCGCCCGCTTCTCCACAAACACCTTCAGCTAATGTTAAAAATATCTCTTTATAAATGTCTCCTCCTAGGAGAGGCTAACCGAAATCTAACAATCATTTCTGGATTGGTAAATGTTTTTCCAGGCAGTGGCAGAAAAGGTCACTAAAGACTTCTGCACAATAAAACAGAACTCAGCCTTTGAAAAATTTAAAGCAAATCAGTACTTTTTGAGTAGAAATGACTTTTCAGCTTGTAACTAATTTTCAGCTGCAAAATGTTACCTAACAAAAAACAGTCAAGGAATTGAAAAGTGAGAGGGCCCGAGAGGCCAGCGGGTGTGTCTTGCCGTGATGAGGAGTGACCACCTTGCCCAGGGAGGGGACAGCGGGCGGCCCAGGGACACGGACTTCCAGTGAATCATTGAAGAAGGTGTTGAAAATCTTTTAGGGCCTGTGTGTGCAAGGCACACATGTATTTCTGCTTCTTCTCTACCCCACTTTTTTTTTTTTTTTTTTGGAAAGGAAGAAAAAGTCCTCCCTAGCGTATTACAGAGGCACAGCATAAACATTTCTTCAAAATCTTCTGGAGAAAGTTGGGGAGACCCTGTTATCAAAACCACAGATTCGAGAAACCATTTCCTAGGGAACAATCAGCAATTAAGTACCTATATTCTATTTGCTCAAAGCAGATGTAACTTTCTTTCAGAACAGCTGTTTAATCATGGAATAAGCAGAATAATGAGATGCTTGTTAGTATATATATGCTCAGAGGCAACATGGTTAGTCCAACAAGTTAGTGAGCTCTGTACCTTCTCCTATGAATGGGAGGCCTCCTGACAACATCCCCCAGAACACGCATTGAACTGAAAATGAATGGTGGGAGAGGTCAGTGTCGCGGTGAAACACGATGGACACGAACGCATGACACATGCAGACATCACCCTGGGAAGAGACACAACCCCCGAAAAGAAACCGTACAGTCACTCAGAGGACAGGGACCTGGGTTCAGTAAATTATCAAAGTATAGGGATAAGGAGAAAGAAAGGCCATTCAAAACTTTCCAAGAGTTTTCTTAGCACCTGAAGTTCCAGCTCACACCACACGCAGATAATACTGTAAGAGTTAGTCAAACCAGTTAAAGTGATGGCTGACTCTCCTCCCATTATCCGCAGAGGCACTGTGGCAGTGGTGTGGGGTAACCCCAAAGCTACGCTCCAACAGGGGGTTCCATGACAGTAATATGTGGAAAGTTTAAATGATGTAGATAATAGGGTTCTAGTCTTAGTGCAGTCAAAACAGCATTATGTAATTAATCTTGGGCAAACCATTTAATCTGAGCTTCAACATCCTTATCTGAGCCAAATGATCCATAAAATCCCATCTAGCTCTGAAATCAAGGTCATGGCAAAGGGATCTATGGTGGGTTAAAAAGAAAACTGGTTTACATATAATATGCACCTGTGTTTCTGGACACTCTTATCACCTAAAGCAAGAATGTCCTGCTGTAAAGACCATTCCCTATATTCTTATTTTACTTATTGGTGTGAATGCTTTAAAGACAAAACAAAAACAAAAAACCCCAAAAAACAGCATCAATAATGCTGAAAATAAAAAGCTTTTAGAAATTGCTTTTTTTTATATAATCTAGGTGGTCAAATGTAAACAAAAAACTTCCCAGCAGATAAAGCAAGCCCTGCTTTTTAAGGTAAGCATTCTGAACTCGACCCAAGAACAAGTAATCAACATGGAATCCCAGAAAGAGCACTTGACCTGGAGACCAGAAAGCGGGGTCCTACTGACCTTGGGAAGGTGTGACTAACTGGGTGCCCCAGTCCCACCTGCAAAAATGGGGTGAAATGATGTGCATGAAGTAACGTGTTATTAAAGGCGTCTGAAAGGAGCGGCAACTAGGAAAGTGAAAGGCATTCCTGTGAGCACCACGAAGGCAGGAACTCGGTCTCGTGCCCCTCTGTGTATGCAGAACACAGACATGCCTGGCATGCGGAGCACGCACAGTATATGCTGGCCGAGTAAAGGAATGAGTGAGTAATCTCATCAGATTACATGTACTTATAGAATCAGAGCCAAAATATTATAAAGAGGTCAAAAAATTTTTTTAGGAAGCAATGATTGCTGCAGTGATACTGTTCATGCGAAGTGTTTGAAAACAAGTGTCCACCTCCGCCATTAGCTCCTTTGCCCGTTAAGAAAGGCTCTGGGGTAAGCACACCTCTGCACACCCAGCAGGGGCCATGGCACGTGCTCTTCAGAGCTGAAGCTGTGTGCTTAAATTCGCCCAGGCAGCCCATGGCGAGATACCAAATCCCACCTATCTCCCACACACTGCTTCCCAACTGAAGGTCGGGAGGTCTACGGCTGGGTCACAGTCACAAAAGTTCCCAAGGACTGGATGACACATGGAAAAGCACCAATAACCTAATGATATTCAACGATGCTGATAATCTGTTGAGGACATACTCACACTCTAGGCTTTGTCAAACCTTTCTGCATTAGAAAGAGATGACAATTCCTGTGATGTACTTTTAAAACTTAGATGTGTTCAAAACATATGATTTTATGTTTACAGTATTTTTTAATTTAAAACTGACAAATTATTCTCTCCAATATTTCGTAATCTATGAATTTCATTAACGAACCTAGCGTGAATACATGTTACCACTGATTAAACACCTGCTATCTGACAGACTTATTTTACTTGTAATATTTACTACAAATATTCAGAATGGCAGGTGTTTTACAGATGAGAAAATTAAAGCTCAGAGGGGTCCAGTAATTTGCCCAAGGGTATCATCTACAAAGAAAGGTCTAGAGCTGGAGTCTGAACAGTGAGTGGCCTTCCTGATTCCAAGGGCTATTGTGTTCTTCTATACCACAGTGCCTCCTCAAATCTGGTACCAGTGATAGCCCCAAATCAGACACTTCTCCAGAACAAGCAGACAGAGGGAGTAAACACGCAGCCTGATGTCTCACCTCCGGTGGTTCATTTCACCATCGCTGGCCGCGTTCTTGCCAGGCCCCCAGCTGTGCCTCCGGAAAGGGGACAGAGAGCGCATGGAGCTCCTCAGCACAGAGCAGTTTGCAGGCACCTCGGTGATGCTGTCCATCTCCTCCTCTTCCATCTCACCTGAGCCAGCAGGTTCACTCTCACTCTCCCGACCCTCGACCCCCACCCCAAGGCTGGAGAAGCCATCGAGAGACTGCTGGTCCCTGGCCCTGTTCACACTCGATATCTGGGGGAGGGACACATCACTGCCGTGAGACGAATGTCGGTCCAGGGAAGCTGTGTCATCGGTGGAGGAACTGGATCCGGTGATGTCACAGACCAACTGCTCCTCCTCGGGCTGTCATGGGGAGAAAGCACAGCTGGTTGGAAAGCAGGACCAAGCAGAGCGCCTCCTTTATGCCTGACTGAGCCGACGGCTGGAAGCACGTTAATGTTCCTTTTCTTACGGAGGTGAAAAATCTAATTCAGGTCAGCGCCTGCAGTCAATACCACCAACTGAAATGAAGGGATTATCTTTTGGCCATCTGCTTCAACACTAGAAGTGTGTGTGTGTCTGTATGAACCTGACTCTGGGTCGTCAGCCCAAGGAAATACAGTAACTATCTCAAAGAGATACCTGCACTCCCATGCTCAGAGCATTACTCACAGTAGCCAAGATACGGAAACATCCTAAGTATCTATCTACAGATGACTAGATAAAGAAAATATCAGTCAGCCTTCAAAAAAGAAGGAAATCCTGCCACTGGCAATAACATGGATGGCCCTGGAGGGCATCATGCCAAGTGGAATAAGCCAGACATGGAAAGAAAAATGCACATGATCTTACCTATATGTGGAATCTAAAAATGTCAAACTCATAGCAACATCGAGCAGAATGGTGGCTGGAGGGCGGGGGAAGTGGGGAGATATCAGTCAAAGGGAACACACTTTCAGTTCTGAGATGAGTAAGTTCTGGAGACATAACGCACAGCATGGTGGCTCCAGTTACTGATAACGCTGCAAACCTGGAATCTCCTGGGAGTGTCTCAGGTGCCCTCACTGCACACAGCAAAAGGGTGACCACGGGCTTTATTTTACCTCTGGGAAAAGAGGAAGCACCTACCAGTATTTTCTATGGACTTCGATTAGCCTTTTGGATAACAGGGTGGCTCAGGTCATGTAATTTATGATCATACTTTCTTCCTGCCCAGAGAATCTCAGGATCTCTTTTCACTTTAAAAACAAAAACCTCAATTTTATGCGCTGAGATCTTAGAAACCAGCCAATATCCGTAAGAATAAACACGAAGCTCGTTACCACTCAACAAAAAGTCACAGAGTTTACCAGGACAGAGAAGGAATGAAGATATCAGGTTAAGACAAACAGTTTGGGACCAACACTGCAGGCTGTCTTACAGGGACCACTGTAGAGTCAGTCCCACCAATGGTGGCAGGAACTGACCCAACACACCACCCACGCTGCAGTGGCTTTCCTACAGACTGTATCTCAGAGAAGGGAGCAGGGGGCTGGAGCCTGGGCAGAAACTCAGACAAGGCTGATGTGGCACAGCACGCATGTGGGTGACCAGCGGCCAGACCTCTGAGGAAGGCACTGATGGCCCGTCTGCTCCTTCTGCATAAATCGCTGGCTACTAAAGCAGGTGTTGGGAGATTGAAGGCAAAATCACAGCAAATGAACAGATTTCCTCTATTTCCTCAGGATAAAAACCCCCACCTTACAAGGCTGTCACGATCATAAATGAGATCACACTTGCAGAAAATTCGGTTCAGTGCCCAGTGTGTACTAAGTACTTTGGAAATAAATATCAGCCGGTCTCTCTCCTCTTCCCTTCGTACGTAAACCCTTGGTTTTAATAATGCCAGAGAAAACATTTATTGCAAAACTTCTACTGATCACAAACTTTGGGAGAGAAGAACCCTCCAGGTCTCCCTCCGAGAGGCCAGCAGACATTCTGGTGAGGGCACGACAAGGTCCAAGTGTACCACCGTTTCTGGTTTTCCTGGGGCAGGCTGCTGTGAAACGTAGGTGAGACTTAATTTGGGGAGTAAAAAAATTGTATCTAGTCATCTTGAAGGAAAAAAAATTGCTAAATCTAGCAGTGGCCACTGATATGAATGATCTTGTGAATGCTTTCGGCAGTCTGAAAAGCAGGTAAACTAGAACAAATTCTGACTCTGCAGAGCCAGAAGATCATTCCGTTTAGTGGGCAGGCACAACTGTAACTCTGCAGAGAGAACACCCAGAGACAAGGCGCCACGCACGCGCCAGGGAGCAGCCGGTGTTTCTTAATGAAGACTTCTCCATTTTTAAAAAGCTTTTTACTATGAAAATTTTCAAACATACAGAAATGTTTACCAAAACATGGCGTAGGTATCCATGACACTGATGACTCAAACTTAAAGCAGGCACTCACAGATAATATCTAACCTATTTATCTCAGACAAAACTGATTTACTTTCAGAGCTGAACCTCTGCAGAATGGCATTCCCCTGGGGGAGGTGGGGGTGGGGGGAGATTTTAGAAGTCTTCACAAATGAAAACCTCAAAATCACAGTGGTAAATACCCAAGTTCTGTTACTTAAAAAAAAAAGTCCGATTGCTTTCCCTCTTCCTAATAACTTCAGAGAAGGACACACCTTTCCAGCGTGTGGATTTTTTACTTTACGGAATCCCTTGAGTCAACAGGTCCACAGTCCGTGATGAGTGACGGTGACCGGAATCCTGACGCGCCGCAATCTCTCCAGGGGCCTCCAGAAGATAATGAGCACAGGGAAGAGGAACAAGGTGGAGAAGGGCTGGGGAAGGCCGAATGGACACACGAGAACCACCGGGACGAAAAAGTGTTTGAAGGTGCATTCACAGAGACTTAAATACGTTCTGGACCGGAACCCAGAACCTTTAGCCTCCAAACTTCTATCATGACTTTGCAACACAGCATCACCACATGGTCCTCGGAAAATGGAATCATCCACTAACACAGCTGCTCCCCAGCTGCCACAACGTGTCTGCCCCTGCCCACTCCTACTAAGACGCCCACCTGTGGGGAAGAACTGAGTATTACTTCTGACCCTGTGGTGGGAAAGCGTTCTAGTTTTCTTAGGAAACAAAGCAGAACTCCCTGCAACTAGGTGCAAACATGAGCAAACCGCCCCCACATCCTGGCCTCTTACAGGCCCTCAAATTATACGAAAAACACGAGGTGATTCATGTGGATGTGCTTGGCCTTTCGCTGGCAAGAAAGCTTGGGCTCCCTAGCAGAGATCTAGAAGGTTCCAATTAAGCAGCGTGACATCACCAAGCTCAACAGTGAGCTTCACGCCTAAACACATTAATCAGAAATGACTCTGTGGTTAGTTTATACACATGACATCATATAGTCTGAGCCATGGTCCTTCCTGCCCACTGAAAAGCACTCATTGTCATCTGATTTAATTCACTTCCACTTCTTGAGTCTTCAAAATGAGTGGCAAAACTTGCATGTACCCAGCCATGATTCTGCAGAAAATAAAGGCCAATGTCTGTTTCTAAGCCCCTTGGAAACCTGGAGCGTCCTGCCCTGAAAGGGAGCTTTTACACTTCTCTCAGATCAGCTAAGAGCCAGAGAGAAGCCCTGTAAGGTTGGCCGGATGACGACTGCTGGCGAGAGTGGCAGAGGTTAACTACCTTGGAGAAGACAATGTTGTCCACTTCTTCAGTGGGCGAGTGGAAGAGGTCGGAATCACTCCCAGATTCTCTTTTAAGTATGCCTTGTTTGGGGGCGCACTCCCTGCCCAGCCCAACATCCAGGAAATTCTCACATTCTGAAACAGAAAATTTATTCATTAAAAAAAAATCAGTTTCTTTTCATTCCAGCAATCAGCCTTTTAAATCTACTAACCAACCTTCCTCCCACACCCCTTCTTTACTAAGAAGCTGTAAAGGACACAATCAATTTAGCAGCGTTCAACTCCAGAACTCTGATTCTAGGTTGATACCGCTACTACACAACCACCATGAGTTTGTCATGTAAATGACAGGTACAAAAAGATGAAATGATTGAGACCCACTGTTCCATCTATAGTTAGGTATTCAAATGGAAATCTTTTCCTCCTGGTAGTTAAGAGGTTTTTACTTCTTTGGGTATCAAAATTGGAAACTATGTGATAGGGTTTGTGGCCAATTTGTTTTGAGTTGTTTCTGGAAACTTGTTACGTTATCAAGATACTGAAATAAAAGAGGGGAAGCATATCTAATAAACATTAGTGTATTATACTATGGGTTCAAATGAGTAAGAACAGAAATGTAATTACTTAATTTCTTATACCGAAACAGATCTGACAGTGGGGAACACCACGCTGAAGAAGAAAATGTGTCATCTAGCTTCTGTTTTCAGCTCAGTAACTAGGACAGGGACTGGAGTGCCAGACAGAGGGGCTCCAACAGAAATACTGCACAGGTGCATCCAGGAATTCCAAAGACTGACTATATTAAAATCAGCAAGGTATTTAACCCATTCTCTCCTATGACCTTTGTAAACAAATGGACATGTGACCTGTCAGCACCAGAATCACAATGGCTTGTACACGATGAAACCAAAAACCCAAAGAAAGTCAGAAGCAGGCAGGTATCAACCTCCTTCAAGAAGTCTGGAAAGGGAAACATCATCTAGTTAGTGTTTTTACGTGTGCTTTGGAGACACACATGCATGTTCATCACATCTGTGGGTGACGCTGTGACGAGGTGCAGGGGAGAGCACCCGGCTACTCGGCATACAATGCGAGGTGATGGCACACAAAAAACACTCATCGTTTTAGGCTCCATTAACAGACCCAAATCCAAAATGAGGGAAGGTCTGCCACCAGGTGACGGCTGTGCCGCACCCACAGCACTGGGCTTGTTCCTAGCTAATGCTTCAATTACAACACAAACAGAAGCGCGTGCGTGGGAATGAGGTCACAGCAGTGCAAACACGAAACCTGCCCGCCCGCTGCTAGAGGAGTGGGAAGAAAACGTGTCTGAGGACGCTGCTGCTGCTGCTCCCCAGGCAGAACAGACCCCGCAGATCGGAAGGCGCAGAGCCTCATGGTGACCGGGCTACTGGGCAAGGGGTTGGGCCTCATAAAGGCATGAGTGTTGCTGCACCAGAGGGTCTGGAGCAAAGGCTCAACGACTGTGTCAAGAGGTTTCTGTGCAGAAGGGGAGGTGTGGATTGGACTAGACTGCCCCCAGTGTAGTCTCTCTTAATTCTTTGAGGGCATGCGCACACGCTAAGGAAAAGAGGAAGTTGTTCTGACCTAAATTAACAGTTGATCATTAGTAAATTATTTGCTCTGGATTAGTTAGGAATCTTAAGGAAAGGACCAAAGAGGCACCATATTGGGATAGGTCAGGAATCGCATGGCAACAAAATCACTTTTTCTAGTACTTAGGCATTTGACTATGTACTGGGGAATGTCCAAAAAAAAAGAGGGGTTTAGTGTGTGCGTGGGGGGTTACAATCGTGTAGTGGAAATGAACACAGTAAGAGGTAATTTCAACACAGAAATACACAAGGGATTCCATGGGAGGTCAAGTTGGGCCCACAGACTGATCTGAAAATGTTTCAGATAAAGAAAAAAATGACATTAGTTCATTCTAATCTTGGTGTCCAAACCGTGTCTGAGTGTGCTATTTCTGTGGGAACAGCCTGCCCTTTCCAGCTGGAAATGGTGGGCGTCTGAGGGTCCTCTCCCACACGCATTTCAGAGTACGCACTACCACCTCAGGTGGGGCTGGTGCATACGAGCTTTCTATTTCTTCCACGCTCGGAAAAACCCAAAACTCCACTCTGTGGCTGAGGGGAAAATAGGGGGCTGGCCAAGGAAAGAAAAGGCTGTCGCAGCAACTGTGCCGAGCCCTGGCCGGCCAGCTGGCAGGCCGACAGACCACGTCCAGATTCCGACGGGAAAACACACCAGCTCAAGACATTCGGATGGAAAGTTCACAGGGAAGATCCAGACTCGCCCTTGTAGGAACGTCTGACCCAGAAAAGGAGTCCAGGGACCACAGGGCCGACCGACCGAGTGCGGGATAAGGGGCTGCTGTGTGACAGAAAGGTGACTGTTAAGACAGGGAGGAAGAGGAGATCGTGGGAACCAGGAAAAAGGGAAAGAGCAGGGCTTTAGACCATTCTGAAGCCCCACAAATGTGAGTGGGGGAGGGCAACGACAAAGCTAACCTACATGCCAACGCACGTGTGTTGGTAAGTTTTCAAACCTAGTAAAATCTTTCCTTTTTTTTCTGATGAATAAAAGAGAGCAGCATATGAAGGGGGAGAGAAGACTGGGCACTGGCCTCAGACTTAAGACTGTCGTGACTTAATTCTAGGTCTGATTACTTATTAGCAGAAACATCCCAGGGAAGAAGTAATATTTACCCCTTGAAGTCTCCATACCTGTGAAATGAGGTGACGAGCACCTCCCTAAAACAGTCACAGTGACAGAAATAATCTGTGCAGACAGCACCAGAACTCTGCCCCTCAGCACAGAGCAGGCGTGTGATAAACGTGCCTAACAAAGTTCAGGCTTCATTAACCAATGATGTGTGCTTCCACCAGTACCCAGTCAGGACGTTACCTTGAGGTGTGCCAGACCTGTTTTATGGCCCATAAATAAATGTCAGGAACTTTTGTGATCTGAGCCATTAGTTTTTTAACAGCTAGCAAAATGTGTACTTTTAAAGATGCTATCTAATCATTCAGGTATAAAATTACATGTATGCAAACAGATTATAGTTGAGGAAGGGCAAGAACATACCAGCAGCACTCACTGGCTTTGCTGAACCCTGCTAATCATAATGTAATCTTGTATTTATTTATACAGAACTTAAAAATATACCAAGTAATTTTAAAAGACATTCTTTCATTGGGCCTAACACTATTGCTGTCCCAGGCTGTGCTCAAGAAGTAAAAGAAGGAAACGTGTCTAGAATTCACAAAAAGCAATACTTAAAATAAAAGAATCTCATATTTGAAGTTTAGAAGCACAACCCAGATCCTGGACTTTGTTAAATGGAGGGTCAGAAGGAATTACTCTAAAACCGCCAGTATGTTCGGGCTGGAGTATGGAGGGGGTCAACACAGTTCATGCCCTGGGGAAAGGCTCGGGGGCTCAAAAGTTCACTTATTTCATGAGTTAATTAAACGGCACCAAGTGGAGAAACATCCTGTGGGCATTCAAATGGTGAGGCAACCCCACTCAACCTCCCAGAGCAGAGAGTGCCATTGCCTGGGAGGTTGGGAGTAACTGGACTTTTAGAAAAAGCCCCAGCTTAAGGAATGAAATTAAGTAGATATTTTAAAGTAAAAGATTCCAGGGGGCTGGATGGGGGAGTGTCGGCCAAATCTGGGAGCAGGTCAATCGTAGTATGTGGAGACCCTAAAGACAACTACCGCAGGTTCACATCCTTTAAGCACTTCCTCCACATGCGGCAGAAGCAGAGAAAAACACTTTCCACATTTGTTCCCAGCACTTCCTACAGAGTAAATAAACTCAGAGAGCTGAGAATCAGTAAGAAACCACTCTGGAGGTAGAAGTTTGTCTCTCAATGTAATGCTACGGCAAGAGAGTCACAGCTAAACTACTCCCAGAAAGCCCAGTTAAAGGAGGACTCAGTAACTCTAAAGCAGTTAAAATTTGGGAAGGTGAACAGGAGGTGTTTTTGTTGGGGGAAGTGGACGTAGGAGCCCAGAATGCAGACAGACGGTGTTCCCATGGCAGCTGCAGGGGCAGGCAGTGGGACTCAGCTACTCACCGCGGTGTGCGGACGACACCCGCCAGTGAGAAAAGCTTTGGAGATCAAAGACAACAGAGCACAAAGACATGAGGGACCACATCTTTGTCACAGTGAATTAGTGACTAAACCTCGTAAGCAGCTGGGACACCCAAGTCACCACTAGCCACGTGCTGTGTTACTACCAAGCAAGGTCTTAAGAGCATTTTACCCTCATCAGTTGTTACTAAGACCTTGTGTTCACTTAGGGAAAGACTCAATTCCTGACAATCCTCCCAAAGCTGGCTGCACAAGAGAGGAACCAAAGGAGCTTTTAAAGAGCTGGATGCCCAGGCCACACCCCCAGCCCAATTACATGAGGATTTCTGGGGGGCAGGACCCACGCATCAGCGTATCTTAATGCTCCCAAGACATATTTCTTTAAAAAATGTCATTCTGGAATGTAAAGCTCTTTTTAATTATATTTGATAGAAAATACTACATTAGTTTCAATGTACAACATAGTGACTTGATATTTATAGACCTCACTATGAAGCGGTGACCACGAGAAGCCTAGCAACCAGCGTTACTGCGATAGTAGTGACTGTATTCCCTGTGCTGTACATGACATCCCCATGACCTCCTTGACTTCCTTACGTTACAGCTCTGAGTTTGCACCTCTGAATTCCCTTCACCTTTTGGTCCATCCCCACCACCGCAGAACCCTGCCGAGATACTTTTAATGTGCAGCCAAAATTGAGAGCCACAGTTTAGTCCTTAACCATATGTATTTGTGGTTTTACCAGATTAAGGCAATGTTATCGCATGTACATGCACAGATGCCTTCACGGATGAATTAATAGATCACAAAGTCCCACGTGAGGCATTCCTGCTAGTTTAGGTAATTACACGTGCTCACACTGTCCATCGTGACACAGAGTGCCTACAAACCCAAACCACACAGCCCCCGTCCCTCTGCTTTACTGCATGCCACGCCGAGAAAGGACAGACCCCAAACCCAACAGTCTGCTATGAGAGTCCGGTTTCGGCTCTAGAGCAGAGATGTCCTGGACACAGGCGTTTGGGCAAACCGGAAGTGGGCACTCCCCGCTTACCTGGGCTCTGCGTGGGGGGCAAGAGAGACGGCGCATCCGCACACGGCTCTATCGTACACCAGCTTTCTCGGTTTATCTGAGGACAAAGGAAAACACACAGTGTCAGACAGAGAAGTAATGTGGGATGACCTTCCAGCCACTGCAAGTATATCTACTATACCATCACTCCATTCTTTTTCTTTAAAATTTTATTGAAAAGTGGGTAAAATTATTTTAAGAAAAAATACCTTTTCACAATTGAATTAAGGTAACTGACAATGCTTTTAGGAGACGATAAAAGTTAGGCATACAAAAGTAATTTTTATTGCAGTTAATATAATTTTTAAAATCATCATTGGAGATTTTTGATAGTCTTCTCTCAGTAACTGATAGAACAAGTAGACACAAAATCAGTAAGGATACAGAAAACTTGAAAAACATTATCAGCCACTTTGATGCAACAAATACATACAGAACACTCTACCCAAAAATAGCAGAATAAATGTTCTTTTCAAATGCACATGAAAGACAGGCCATATTCTGTGGCATAAAATGAGTCTCAGATTTGAGGATTAGAAGCATACAAAGCATGGTCTTTAGTTTAAACAGTATTAAATTTAGAAATCAAAATGAAAAAGATATCTGGGGGAAAAAAGCCAAATATTTTAAAAGTTAAAAAAAATTCTAAAAATTCCATGATCGAAGAAGAAATCTTAAGGAAACATTGGATATTGGTTAAATATTAGAAAATATTTTGAACGGAATAAAAATAAGACGTTATCTGTAGAATTTGAGATACAGCTAAAACAGTGCTTAGAGCAAAATTTATAATATTAAATCCTTATATTAGGAAAAAAGATCCCAAATCAATAATATCAATTACCACATTAAAAAACTAGAGCCCTGACCAGAGCGGCTCAGTTGGCTGGGCATCCTCCCACAAAGCAAAAGGTCACTGGTTCAATCCCCAGTCAGGGCACATGCCTGGGTTGTGGGTTTGACCACCAGTCAGGGCATGTAAGAGAGGTAACCAAGTGATGTTTCTCTCCCTCTCTTTCTCACTCCCTTCCTCTCTCTCTAAAACTGAATAAAATCTTAAAAAAAAACTAGAAAAGGGAGAACAACCAGCAGCAAATAAGATTTAAGAAATATACAAAGAGCAGAAATCAATACAATGGAAAACAGAGAAACAATAAAATCTATAAAGTCAAAATGTGGCTTCCTTGAAAATCAATGATATCAGTAAAATTCTAGCTACAATGACCAAGAAGAAAAGTTACAAATTATCAGTATCAGAAACTAAAGGGGGGCATTATTATAGATCCCATAGACACTGAAAAGATGACACAGGAATATCACGAACAACTTTACTGCCTATCATTCTAACCCAGACTAGAGACCTTTTCCTTAGACATTTCTGGGGGGCATAAAAAGTCCAAAGGCGTATAAACTGAGGAAGGAAGAATGGCCCTGAGTACAGACGTGGTGACACATCTGCTCTCAGGTTACTCTCTCTTCTCCAGAAAATGACCCCTAAGACTGAGGCGTTTACATTAACAAAGAAGTGGGTTCTTTGTACAACCAGCATGCTTCTTAGCCAGCTCTGAGACCAGGCTTGGCTAAAGGTTCCAATCACCAAATTAGGATTAAGAGACAAAAGAGGAAGAAACAATAGCGCTGAGACTGCTAATAACTTGAGCTTTAAGAGGAAAATGGAGATGATAATTATGAGCCCCTCTATCCAGATTTCCCCCTGATGGAATCTGTATTAGTCTAATACGGGATCAGCAAATAAAAGAATGTTTAAGGGAGAGAATAGTTCAAGATGATTCATGAATTTTGTATAATGAGTAGCTCAAAATGAGGAAAACAGAAACTCCGCCATTAAATATCCACATCTTTTGGAGGGACAAGTTACCAAAACAGACTTTCTGGCTCTGACCACATTCATGAATCTTCAGCCAAAAAACAAAGTCAGTCTTTTGGTCACAGCATCCCCGTGATCTCCGTGACAAGCAGTTCACGGACACCACAGGTATTCCGCACCCCCAGTTCTGGCGAGGTACAGTGCATATGCCGCATGGGATGAGAGACGCTACTTCAGAAGAAATGCCAGACCCCCACCCCCGCCCCAGTATTACGTTTCATTCCCTGGGACCCCTTGTGATTACATAAACCACACCCACATCGTGTTCCCATCAGTCTGAAAATAGAGTTGTACATATTTTCAGTGCACAGGGGATCTGCCTTTTGTTTTTGGCAGTGTTTCTGCTCCTGTTTATATCCGAACATCCTAATAATACAGCTCATGGTTACACCCAGCCTTCCCAGCCATTGCCCGTATTTACTTCCTCTGCAACTGTCTCAGGAGATCCAGCCAGAGTTCCAAGGCTGAACAAAAGGAAGCAAAAACCCACCATCCGGACATAAAAGCCAACATCTGAGTCAAAGTCATTTCAGGGAATCAGACTGTAACTGAGCAGATGGTGTAGTTGTCTTCAATTCTCAGCCTCCTTATCTTTGGATACAATGTGGAAGTCTCTCTGAGCAAGCAAACTTTTCAAAGGACGTATATTTCTATGGAAAATAACAATGAAGTTCATTGGCAAGCTGCTACTCCTGAGCTTTAGGGAATGAGGCCACATGGCCTGCCCAAACTTCATGAATGGGGCAGGGGAGGTGGGGGTGGTCCTCCTCTACAAATACTTTCATTTTGTGCACATGAAACATGGTTGCAAGTCTTTTAACCACTTATCTGATACTCTGAACTACTAGCTACAAAGTGTGTTCTCAGTAAATCATCAGTAACGTGAGGAAGCCAGTACCCCAAATTATAAAGAAACGGCCCCCTGTACTAAAATCAGTTTAAATCAGCAGTTAATCCTAGATTCTGACCCTCTTCTTCTTGGCATGCTGGTTTTAACAAATTCCTGGTCCTTGCTATTCCTCTCGTGTGAAGAATGGTCTCAGCAATGCTTATCACAAGTTACCTGGTGATCTGCATGAGGGGAGGGTCCTGTCATTCACTAACTTGGGAGGTCAGTACTAGCTTAGTGAAGGGTGCGGAGGGAAACAGGCTAACAAAGCCCTTCCATATCCCATTTGAGCATGTGATTCATCATTACCAACCACTCATGCTAAGAGCCCAAAGCCATGCATGCACTAGGAGAGAGTAACCAAGGGAATGTCGCATAGCGAAGAAGAGAAACGACATGTGTGTACTTGGGGGTATGGAAGGGTGGGCGACAAGGAATATGATCAACGTATTATGTTACTGTTTAGAAAAAAATTCAGAAAGGAGATAAGATTTGGGAGGTGTTGAGGGTTGACGATGGGAAACAAGAGCTAATCTGAAGACAGAGAGCAATGTATGCAGCTTGAGGAAAGTCTTAAGGCCTTGCTTAACGCGAACTATCACGAAACCAGCTGTACAGATCTGGCAACAAAGGGACCAGATCAGAGTGCAGAACAAGGCGACCGAAGTGTGGGTACCTAACACAGGATGGGAATTTCGAAGCTAATCTTCAGTGGATTATTAGGATGCCAGTGGGAGGGACTGAGTTGTAAATGTGGAATTCCAAAGTGACACGTTCCAAATCTCAATTCTGTGACTGCTATTGTACTTCACCTGTGATCTTATTTATACCAGCCTTATCAGTACATCACATACAGTTTACATAACATGATGTGTATGAATGCATACTCACAAATCTTAAAAGATTAACTCATTCAATTAACAAATACTCACTGAGTATTTAATACGAATTGGGGACCTTGCTCTGAGCGCTTAGATATATTTAATGGACATGTGAAAAAATCACAAACTCCTTCATATAAAAAGCCAACTTTCCACCCATAAAAGTGGAGTGAGAACATATACATGAGAATTCAAGTGGCAAACATACCCAATACCATTATTTTTTTTAAACACTGATTAAAGATACTGAAATTCAAAGTGAAAGATAATTGGAGAATACTTCTGAACAATTTTTAAGAAAGAATTTCAGGGAAAAGCCGGTACATTATGTGACAAACTGAAATTACAAGAGATCGTGCACCTGTCCAAAGTTTTAGAGAAGAAATTCCTTCACCAAGAAAGAGGTGATTAACTTGTAAGGCTTCTTCCAACACAAAATGTTTAAGATTGAAAAAAACACATTCATATATGTAAATAAAAATTGATACACACATTCATGCAATAAAAGGAATTGTTCAGCTCAAAGGGAAGGTCTAGAATAGCAAGAAAACACGTGCACTTTGAAAACAACCAGATCTGGGGGTGCATCCTCTCAGCTATTACACAGGAGCAATGGGAAATGGCTGACTATCTGAATCTGATTTTCCATATGCAAAATGAGTCTAGGAATGTAAAAATCTGACACCGGTATCTCATGTCCATCCACTTCTTCCCACTTCAGACCACGAAACCATCTAAGCATGCCTGGACCACCACAATGGCAGCCTCACGGGTTCCCACGCTGCCAGAGGGACCCTGTGTCAACGGGAGCTGAGAAGCAATGTGCCCACACAAAGCAAACCCCTCGCCCTGGCTGCGAAGACCCTGCTTTTCTAGGTCCCACTTCTGCCTCCAGCCTTCTCTTCTCCTCCCCACCAACTCAGGATGCTCCTGCCACAATGGTTCTGCTGGTTCTTTCCTATCTCGGGGCCTTGTATTTGCTGTTCGTTCGTTCCCTTGGGAGAGCAAGCACATTCTTATCCTGTAGAGATCAGTATTTTTTAATGTCAGCACTCGAGAAAGATTTTATCTCAAATACGTCTTCCCGCTATTTCTCGCACAGCTCATTGTTTATTTCTGACGAACCACTCACAATAAATCGTACTTTATTTCTCCCTTTATTGCCTGTCCTTAAGCGATATGAAGATTTTCAGGAATCACATGTCCCTTGGACTTAGCACTACACCTGACATCCAATAGTCATTAACACTGATCCCATGCTAGAAACAGGTTGTTTTCTGGGCTCCTTGTGTATACTTATTTGTAAAAAAAAAAGTCTACTGTCCGAGAAATTAAGTTTTCTCTACCGAAAATCTTTTATTTTTATGTAGTAGGCAGTTTGGCATAAACCAAGATTCATC